TTACCACAGTGAAGATTAACCAAAATAAAGTCCCTGAAACATTATCTATTACTTAAAGGCTTTCATTCTCATAGAGACATCCTAGGGGGTAAAGTAAAGTGAGGGCAGGAAGAGGGAATTTCTTGTAAATCAAATTAAGGTAAGGTTCTTTGAAAAACTTGTTAGAAATTTTAAGTGAGTTTTCTTGAAGTCTAGATGGTAGAAAACCTGATTAGCTCTGAATAGGCCACTTGGGTGAATTTCCGTATCTAAAGACTAGATAGTAGGTAAGTTTGAGTGGAAACTGAATAGAAGGCTATGTGATATAGAGTGATAAGATTTGGGTTTTCCTCAGTCTGGCAGTGAAAGAGACTTTGCTGTTAACAGCCATTTGTTTTTATTATATAGCCAGTTGTTAATGACTTTTGACTTTGAGAGGAATTTCTCACCCTGGTGCAGTACTTGCTTGTCAGGGCCAGGTAGTGCCTTATGAGGCTGAAGCAATCCAATTGTAAGCTGAAGGTTGCTCAGAATATTTTGATATTACGATTATACAAAAAAGGGAGGTCATAACATAAGTTAGCATGGAAACTCTGATTTTTCAGAGCATTTCCATCTCCATCCGGAATATGTCAGTTGATAGAGGTTGCATAGCTTGTGTCACATGGAGATGTCAGGTGTCTTTTTGAGTCAGTATTTTTGTGTCTTTTGGGTAGATACCTAGGAGTGGGATTGCTTGGTCATATGGAAGCTCCATTTTTAGCAGTTTGAGAAACCTCCAAACAGTTTTCCATAGTGGTTGTACTAGTTTGCATTCCCACCAGTAGTGCAGGAGAGTTCCATTTTCTCCACATCCTCGCCTGTTGTTGCTAGTTGTTTTAAGATGTGCCATTCTTTTTAAGATGTGCCATTCTTATTTGAGCGCATTTCTCCCTGACTAATTCCTCTCATTTCCTCTCTTCCAGTCCCTTGTCCATCACGTCCACCCTCAGCTCATGTCCATCTCAAGTTCCATTCCCCTTGTCTGTCCCTCTTGGCTTTTCTCTCTCTTCCTGTCTTCATTACTTCGTTCTTTTCAGTGTACAGACAGGCATGCAATAGCTCTCCAGTTTCGCCCCAGTGCTTTTCTAGCTCATTCCTTTTTTTCCTTTGTCTCCAAATGTTGATAGCCTCAAAATGTTCTCTGTTCTCACCAGTGTGTGGAAACTATTCTCCCCATATTAGCAGTTAACCTTTTTCTAATCAGTTCAGAACAACTTAATCCTTATCTTATTAGATCTTTTAATCTTCACATCCATAAAATCTTTCAGTTTCTGGTTTTGCCTCTCTTCTGAGTCTTCTCATTTTCTAGTGGGTCTTTGTCTCCTTTTGGGCCTCCTTTCCCCTGTATTTGCTTATTACGTGATGATTTGCCCCACAGTGTATTACCTGGTCCTATCGTTTATTTTATTTTGAAGGTACAGTTGTGAAACTACTGTCTTGGTTTCATCTGATAATAAGGGGAACAAATAACAAAGTGGGTAAGCAAAGATCAGAATACAGAAAACAGTGAATGTTTTATGGGAATTAGTCAAACCTAGTATCCAAAAATGAAACTTAAAAATAGGATCTAAACTTAAAAAAAGTTAAATGTGTGTGCAGTGTTTCATAGACATTTTCTCTGATCAAGGCGCAATAATAGGGAGTGAGTTCACCTTCTCTCCCAGACAACAGCAGCAACAAAAAAGAGAGTTCATGAAGCAATTCTTTTCTTTAGACGCTGACAAAGGACAGTCACTGTTCAGAGATGGAATACCAAGGAAGTGAGCTCTCACACTGCCCCAGTTTTTTGCCTTGAGGTTTGGGGTTTTATCAGAGGAATGGGAAACCCAGGGAGGAGTCAACAGACTTCCTGTGTCAAGGGTGTAGATCAAGGGTATAGATCTGAGAGTCTGAGGAGAGCACAGCAGCAGGCTCTCTGTGGACAGAATGCCAGAGAGGAGCAAATTTGGCTGAGAGCCCCGAGATAAGTGGAGCATCTCCATCTAGTAACCAGAGTATTGATCAGTGCATGCAAGTGGAGAAATACCGAGGCTGAGGAGAGCCCTGTAAAGGATTAGAGGGAGTTGTACCTGATACTGACATTGCCAGGAACATTGCCTGTTACTGCTGGCCAGACTGGAGAACTCTGCTAATTCCCAGAGCACTGGGATGGAAGTGTAGCTGTAAAACACTGAAGAGGAAAATAACTGTTTCCTTAGAATTCTACATGCAGCAAAAGTGTGTTTCAACAAAGGTAAGAGATAGCCTACAGAATGGAAGATGTTTGGAAGTCCTATGTCTAATAAGGTTTAATGTTGGAATACATAGAGAACTACAACTCAACATATAGGCAGCAACCCAGTTAAAATGGACTGAGAATTTGCCTAGACATTTGTATAGAAATATGTAAGTGAACAGTAATCCTGTGAAGACATTAGGGCAGTGCACATAGTAACTATAATGAAATGCCCTTAACACCTAATAAGGGTGACCATAGTAATTTTTAAATTTTTTTAAAGACTTATTTTATTTATGCATATAAGAGCTGGGGTGTAGGCCAGAGGTGCAGGGGTAAGAGGATTCACCAGAGATAGAGTGAGAAGCAGAACATGTGGATCCATTGAAATCCATTGCTGAGGGGTGCAATGGGGGAGATAGGAGTGTTCTGTGCCATGTGGGTCACATCCCTGGCTAGAGATTAAACTCATGCTGCTGTGACTGCATAGGGTCATAGCGCTAAGACTTAACCCCTTCACTTAACTTAACCATGGAGGCCCCGACTATAGTATCTTTTTTAGTGGAATGGCAAGGATTCACAACATGTGGAGGAATTGGAATCCATGTATAGAGCTAGTGTGAATATAAGAAGTAGGGAGTCCTGAGAGAGGTGATAGGACCCAGCACTTCACTCCCAGGAAGGGGAAGCAGGTGCCTGTACAGACGATCCTGTGCCAGTGCTCACAGAAGCCAGAAAGGAAATAGTTAATGTTTCTGCCAGACACTACAGATCAGTGGGTAAGCGATGTGGTTTGTGACTATAGAATGCACCGTAAAGTGTGGTTCACCATGAAAGAGACATCCTGACACATGTAACAGCCTGAGTGAACTTGATGACATCATGCAAAGTGAAGAAAAAACTAGACAAAGATGGATGAATGCTGCATGTTTTTCCTTATATAAACTATCTAGAATAGAAACAGGAAGTAGATTAGAGGTTGTCAGGGGCTGAGGAGTGGGAAGAGTAGGGAGCTACTGATGTCACAGAGTTTCTGTTTGGGATGATGAAAAATTGGAGGATTAGTGTGGTGATTGCATAACATTGTAAATATAATTAATGCCACCGAAATGTACATTTGCTGAGGATTAAAATGGTAAATTTTATATTACATATTGTTTTTCTTTTCCCCTCTCTGAGGTGAAATGGTCTTTGAAGGGCTGAAATGTTATACATATTTTCCCACAGTTTTAAAGATAAGTGATATAATACACCTCAAATCATTAAATTTACACTTCAGTGGGTGAATTACATGCATGTGATTTTTAGTTTAGTAAAGCCGTTAAAAAAAAACCAAAGCCAAAGTACATTGTTAGAACTACAAAACTGAAAGAATTGGTCACCAGAGCAGATGACAGCACAGTGGTGTTCAGAGATGTCCTTCAGGGAGAGAGGAAATGAAACCATGCAAGTACCTGGCACTCACAGTGATTAGCAGCTCTGGTGATGGAACCACATAAGTGTAGGCTTCTTCCTGAGCATTAAGTGTCTTTAAAAGACAGCTGTGTCAGTTTTCTGTCTTGTTTCACTGCTCACTGCCAACTAAGCACCTTCAAGGAGACTTACTGCCCTGTAGGCGCAGCAAGCCTGTCTTGGCTGGTTTCTGTTCAGATGCCCAGAGACTGAGACCAAAGATTTCGGTGGCCTGAGTTCTCATCCTGGGGCTGTAGGGAAAACTGACAAAAACACCCAGACATCTCCTTGCAGAATTTGGTGGGACCAGGCCCCTGCTTCCTTGCTGGCCACCAGCAGGCCCTGCCATGTAGCGCATGCCTCTTTTGGGCCAGCGACAGCACATCATGGTTTTCTTGTGTGTTAGATCTCTAACTTGTCCATTTGCAACTAGCTGGAGAAAACCTTTGTTTTCTTTTGTAAAATGAGAATATTAGATAAGGTCAGACTTTTTTCAGCCTCAAAACACAGGATTTATAGTTGTAGAACCATTTTAATTACAAATGAAATTTAACTTGGAACTCTGAAGATTATGGTGAAAAAGGTAACCTGTGTGGCTCTTCCCTTCCTCCAGGATCTCAGGTGCTACCAGTTTCCTTCTGGAGTATCTTTGATGTTCTTCATGGCTGGGGTGCAGGCGTGGGGTTGGTGGTATGATTTTGTGTTATACACAGTGGGGCTGGTGATTCCTGAAGCTTTCAAGTCATAGCACATTCTCATGTTTCTTTTTTTTCTCCAGTGTCACCTCCCCAGGGCTTTCTTGTTCCTTACGAAAGCACCATTGCGACTGAGGTAGGCATGGAAGCTGAGCTGCTGACTGCCTCGTGCCCTGTAAGTGGAGCTTCCTTTTTCTTTTGTTTTCCAAATGGGAATCTGCCCAAGTTCTGAAGTTCCTTTGCCTAGAATTTCAGAAGCTGTGTCTTGGATGCATTCCTTTAGGAGACTAGCAGCACTCAGCAGTTACACCTCTAGTTCTTCCTTTTCAGAAGCAGCATCTAACTATGACAATGGTGAGGCCCTCAGGGCAGGTCATTTGGGGATACTGATGGTGGCCTTCATCGCATTTGAGGTCTGAGCCTGTAGCAGTCCTCATCCCTTGGATGCCCAGAGGTGGCTGGGATGTTGCTATCCTTGGTTGGTGCCTGCTGTATTAGTTCTTACATGGAGTGTGCCTTCCTGGGGTGTGGGGATGAGTTTTGTGATTATCAAGGGCCGAGGCCTTGATAGCTGGGAGCTGGTGGGTACTCTGGGAGCCTCCAGGATTGAGACTGGGCTCCACGCATCTAAGCTTCTTTCCCTAGAGGGTCTCTCCTGCAGGTCTGGACAGATGATCTGGGGAGGCAAGTGAGAGTGGGTCTGAGCTTCTTGGCCTCTCTGTACAGGGCTCAGCCCCCCATGTTTGGGTCTGATGAGACATATGTGTTTTGTGCAGTTAACATGAGCAGGCTTAAATATGTGAGGGGCTCAGGTGAAAATTTGTTGAAATAACATTTGTGCCAAGATATTAGGATGACTTGTAATTGTCTAAACAACTATGAGATAATGGACTAGCAGGCGCAGGTTGGGGGAGGATGGCTTGTTTGAAGAATTTAAAGTAGCCCAAACTCAGAACCCAGGGAAGTAGGGCAGACATACTAGGCCTGTTTGCCTGACTGTGAGGCAGTGCCAACAATGGCCACACAGCACCAGATAGCAGGTAGGTAAGAGGCTGGCAGAGAGAGGGAGAGCTTACTGACGAGGCCAAGGACCTTCTAGGAGGGGAGAGTGGAAGGCAGGTGCAGGCATAGGCGTCCTCTGAGAACACAGGTGTGATGTGCCTGCCACCGGAGCCAGGTTCTGCCACTGAGCAGAGAGGTCGCTGTCACCCTCATCAGGTTTTGGTGCAAACATTTTGGGATAGAGTGTACTGCAGTGTGTTTGGAGAGCCCTAGGAAACTGCACAAGGGGATGATTTTGTAAAGAAGCAGATTGTGATAAAAACAGGTGGCAGTGGTAGCACACGGCAGAGCTGAGCATGTGGGAGCCCCTAAAACAAGAATGACCCCAGCATGCTCTTGGGAGATGAAGGAGCAGAACTGAGAGGGAGCATCTGAAGACTTCAAAAGGGAAGGCTCCAGTGTGTCACAGATGAAGCCATGATTGCAATGGTACAATGGTCTGGTGGTAACATAAAGGAAAGATGAGCAGTTCTTGCTTATCAAAAGTTTCAGAATCAGATTGCAAATAATATGATTTATAGGTACTTTCATAGGAAGTAAAAAGATGAAAAAGAACAACTAAGTAACATAATTCAAAAGGCTCATTTCCAACAATGCATTGGGGTGCCCAAGGGAACCCCAGTGGCTGTGGGGCACTCCTTAAACCCCCCCGCCAGTCTTGGTGGCTGTGACATCCGTGGTCTGCATTCTGTCACAGGGTGGGCAATGCTTCGAACCAGGGATCTTATTCTTGGTGTTGAAAATGTCAAGATTTACCCTGCCCAAGTTCAAGTGCTATTTTCCGGTTCATCTCACACACCTTCCTGCTTCTAGTCTCTGTGTTGCTGCATTGCCTGGGAAGGTGTGGGATGTTCCCTGGGAGCAGGCTGGGAACTCCAGCCAGAAGCTTGATGGCCAGTTAACAGTGGGCAGCTTTCTGACAGAAAAGCACCAGATGATCAGGTCAGGACTTGGTGGGAACAGTAGGCACACTGAAGCTGAATGATCCTGTGCTACCACTGCCACCTGTTTTCATCACAATCTGCTTCTTTACAAAATCATCCCCTTGTGCAGTTTCCTAGGGCTCTCCAAACACACTGCAGTACACTCTGTCCCAAAATGTTTGCACCAAAACCTGATGAGGGTGGATGGGGCTGGGGAAGAGTGAGTTGCCTCTGGGTCCCAGGGCGTAGGGTGAATCAGGATAAGTACCTCTCATTCCTGGATAAGCCCATGCTCTGTCCTGACACGTGCTCTCCACTCCCTTTTCCTGGTGGAGGTCAAGGGTGGGAGGGTCTTATGCACATTATTATTGTTATTATAGACACTGGTGACCTTCAAGGACATACTTGTGAGCTTTTCCAGGGAGGAGTGGCAGCTGCTGGACACTACCCAGCAGACCCTGTACAAGGATGTGACCCTGGAGAACTACAGAAACCTGGTTTCCTTGGGTAAGACTCATCTCTACTTGGAGAAGTACTTGCTGTGATGGTTTTGGTTCTGGGCCTTTGACCCAAAAGTGGGATGCCCTGGCACCTACTCCAGGGTGGGGACTTCTGGTCAGGGGCTTTTTTCCCCTTCAGGCAGAGAACATGGTTTTTTCACCCTGCTTTTGTCATAAGTGGTTTTGGTTTGTTGATTGTTTAAAAATGTTTATTTTGCTGCCTTACAGACTCATTACAGTGCAGACTTGGAGCTTCCTTGTGCGTAGCCCTCACCCACTATTTTTCCTTGCTCTGTGAACAGGGCTTCAGCTTCCCAAGCCAGAGGTGATCCTGCTTTTGGAGAAAGGGGGAGAGCCATGGCTGATTGAGAGAGGAATTCCCTATAGGACCCATCCAGGTGGGTGCAAGCAAGGTGTGGCAGGTGCCAGTGAGGGGGATAGCCTCCACAGAGGGTGGCCTCTGAAAAGTCCAGGTTACTGGCCTTTTGTGCTCCTTTGCCAGTGCTTCCTTCCAGCTGGCTCTCAGAGACAGGGTCTGCTTCTTTATTTAGTCTGAGTTTCTGTTGACGTTCATGGTTTCAACACTGTAGATAGAGCTTTTCTGATGATCCCCTCTCCCTCAGTTCTTCATTTTCATTTTTTCGAACTATTTTCCCTTTAACATGTTCCCTTCCTACAGCCTCAGTTTGTTTTTTGTTGAGGCTGCTGCAGCCACAGTGCCACTTATTCAATGCACCACAGTCGCAAGCCTTGACTGCGCTCAGCAGAGTCAACAGTCCCAGACACCTGCTCCCCTGACATAGTGAGGGTGAAGGGTGCCATACAGGGAGCTTGGCCTTGAGCAGCTGATGGGGGAGGCCAGAGAGGACTCCACTGCATGGCACCTGCTCTTTCAGCACCAGAGAATGATGATGCAGTGGTTGCCAGAGAATCCAGTGTTGGGGAGCAACTCTGGTAACTGGGGTCCCAGAAGGAAAGGAAAGAGAGAAGGGCCCTGAAAACTTATGTGAAGAGATAAAGTCCAAAAATGGCTTCAACCTGGGCAAGGAAGCCAAATCCAAAGACAGGAGGCCCGGACAATTCCAAGGAGGAACCCAAGGAGATACATACCAGGACGCATTATGATTGTAACGAGAAACCTAAGGATAGGTCTTACACACAGTGAGAGAAGAAAGTCTTGTTAATTATAAGGGAAGCTATAAGACAGTCAAACCTTTTCCACAGAAAATTTAATGAACAGAATAGAATGGCATGAAAAGAAAACACTTATGACCAAGAGATCTACGTCCAGCAAAGTTAATAATTCAGAATTGAAGGTGAGATGAAGAGCATCCCAGAAAAGCAGAAGCTGAAGGAATTCATCACCACTAAACTGGTTTTTGCAAGAAATACTAAAGGGACTTTTCTAAACTGAAAAGAAATACGATTAACATCAAGAAAACATGTCTCAGGAAAAAATATCACTGAAAAAAGTAACTACTGTAAAAGTAGTGGTTCAGTAACTTATAAAGGAAGCATGGAGGTTAAAAGAAGTAAAATTAAACCTACAAAAATTAGTTAAGGTTACATACAATGATGTAGCTGAGACAAAAGCATAAAGGAAGGGATGGAAAAGTTTTGGGATGTGCTCAAATTTATGTCTGTCAATCCAAAACAAGATGTCATACATGTACAAAGTTTTCTCTGAATCTCATGGCAATCATAAAGCAAAAACTTAAATATACAGTACAAAAGGAAATTAAACATACTAGTAAAGAAAACCATCAAACCACAAGGGAAGAGAGAAAAGGAAGGAATAGAGGGGAAGTGTAAAATCAGCCAGAACACAACGAAATGGCAATACATATATATCAACAATCAGCTTGAAAAGGAAGGAAATTCTGCAGTAAGCTCCAACTTATCAAATTTTGAGAACATTCTGCTGAGTAAAGCAAACCAATCACAAGAGGACAAGTACTGTACCAGTACAACTTAGTGAGATACTTGGAGTCATCAGAATAAAAACAAAGTATATGATAGAGATTTAATATGTCACAGTTGTAGAGGGCAAATGTCTGAGATCAGGGTATTGTCAGGCCTTGCTCCCTCCACAGAACAGGAGATTATTCCTCTCCCATCCTCCTTCTCTTGCCTGTAGGCATTCCTTGGCACATAGATGGCTGGCTCCAGACACTTCCCTTTGTGTGTACATGTCTATATGTGTGCATGTGCACATGTGTGTGCGGCCCCTTAGAAGGATGCTGTCATCATGGAGCAGGGCCTGCCCTACCCCAGCACTACTTCAATTTAACTGACCGCATCTGCAATAATCCCATTTCCAAATCACATCCTGATGCATTAGGGCTAGTTCTGCTTATTTCTTGGTTGCGGCGGGTGGGGGAGGTACAAGGAATATAACCCACTTATGTAGGAAGAGGTGATATTGTATGAACACTGTCTAGGTTCAGAACCAAATATTTCACCTAAAGGCACAGGTTTTTAAGTAGGGGCACATATAACCTATTACTGTTTTTAGTTATATGAAATAATCTTCAGTAACAGGTAGGTAGGTTAAGTGTCTAGGAGAACATGATTTAAGGTCCTGTCTGAATCAGTATGTTTGTCCTATTAGTGGTTAATTCATTTTTTAAGATTTATTTTTATATACAGAACTGGGATATAGGCCAGGAGTGGTGAGAGGATTCACTAGAGACAGAACAGGGAGCAAAATAGGCAGATTGACGAAGTACACTGCTGAGGGGAGCAGTGGGCAGGTCAGGAGAGGTCTGCCTCTCCTGATGGCGATTACCTTTGGGGCTGGGGATCGAGCTCACACTAAAGTGGCTGTGGCCAGCTTGCAGTGCTGTGTCCTAACCTGTTGCACCACCAGGGAGGGCCCAGTGGTTAATTCTTAATGACTAAATGAGTAAGTGGAAGAGAGGACTGGAGACTGCCAGAAGTGGTGTGCTTTGGCCCTGTTGTTGTCAGCTCTCATTCAGCATGTTGCTCAGGCTGATCTCACATGACAGGTGCAGCCATACATGGATCAGGGTAAGCAGAGTGAGTTTTGAAAAGTTGAGCGACTTGTCTAAATTAATCACTAGCAGTGATAAAGTTTAGATGACGTCCCTACCTGGGTGACTTATGTACAGCTGCTTGTCTAGCCTGTCAGCGTGACCCTTCTGAGTGACTTGTTCCTCTGTCATCTGCACATCATGCTGGAGACGTGCACAAAAGGCATTGCATGGTGTGGTTGTTTTCATGACTTAGGAACCTTGAGTTGGCAGTAGTGTGAAAAATGCACCTTTGGGTAAGAGCTGGTCCAAATGGAAACAGTAGGTCATTAGTAGCTGGATTAGTTGTTAGAAGTGTTGCCCTTCAAGTGTGGTTTCCTTTATTGCCACCCCTACCATTGAGTGTCCAGGTTCCAAGCATCACACCCAGCCTTGTGGCTTCTCCTTACTGTCTTGTTCCTCTTGTGTACAGTTTACTTTGATTCATATCTTGTTTACAGCTCTCTCCTTTCATTTCTGTCTGGGTCACAAAGCCTATTTGAAATTAGTTCTGCACAATATATACTTTGTTTCTACATAACATTTCACCCACCCCACCTATTACTGTTTTTAGTTATATGAAGCTTTCTCATTTCTTTCAGACTCCAGAAGTGCAGTTTTAAGCAAGAGCATTTCTAAAAGTAAACAACCTGATGGCATTAAAATGGAAGAAACAGGGAAGGACCATCTCTGGCATTTGTCATCAGAAGAAGCCTGGAAGTGTGACGACCTGCTGGACACACACCTGGACACACACCAGGAGAGCCAGGAGGGGCATTTGAGACGAGTAATGTCTACCCAAAAGAAAGTACTTATTCAGGAGAGAGTCTGTGGACATGGAAAATATGAAGGAAACTGTCTTCCTGCTCAGCTAGTACTAAGAGAGTATTTCCAGAAACATGACTCACACTCAAAAAGTCTAAAACATGATTTAGTTTTCAGTGGTCATCAGGAAAGCTGTGCCAGCAGCAGTAATGAATGTGCTCAAACATTCTGTCCAAGCATTCACCTTATTCAGTTTGCAAGAACTCAAGCTGGAGATAAGTCCTACAGGTGCCCTGACAACGGTAGCTCCCTTACTCATGGTACATCTGTTGGTATATCGAGGGGTGTACATAGAGAGAAACCCTATGAATGTAAGGAATGTGGGAAATTCTTTAGTTGGCGCTCTAATCTCACCAGGCACCGACTCATTCATACAGGAGAAAAACCCTATGAATGTAAAGAATGTGGGAAATCTTTCAGCCGGAGTTCTCACCTTGTTGGGCATCAGAAGACTCACACTGGTGAGGAGCCCTATGAATGTAAAGAGTGTGGCAAATCCTTCAGCTGGTTCTCTCACCTTGTCACCCATCAGAGAACTCACACTGGAGACAAACTATACACTTGTAATCAGTGTGGGAAGTCTTTTGTCCATAGTTCGAGGTTAATTAGGCACCAGCGAACTCATACTGGAGAAAAACCTTATGCTTGTCCTGAATGTGGGAAATCGTTCAGACAGAGCACACACCTCATTCTACATCAGAGAACTCATGTCCGAGTTAGACCCTATGAATGCACTGAATGTGGGAAGTCTTACAGCCAGCGGTCTCACCTTGTTGTTCATCATAGAACACATACTGGACTGAAACCCTTTGAGTGTAAAGACTGTGGAAAATGCTTTAGTCGAAGCTCTCATCTTTTTTCTCATCAGAGAACCCATACTGGAGAGAAACCATATGAATGTCATGATTGTGGGAAATCCTTCAGCCAGAGCTCTGCCCTCATTGTGCATCAAAGAATTCATACTGGAGAGAAACCATATGAATGTTGTCAGTGCAGGAAAGCCTTCATCCGAAAGAATGACCTTATTAAGCATCAGAGAATCCATATTGGAGAAGAGACCTATAAATGTAATAGGTGTGGAATTTTCTTCAGCCAGAATTCTCCATTTATAGTACATCAAATAGCTCATACTGGTGAGCAGTTCTTAACTTGTAATCAGTGTGGGTCAGCGCTAGTTAGTAGTCCCAACCTTATTAGATACCAGACAAATCATATTAGAGAAAATACTTACTAATATAACAAATATGGAAAATTTGTCATAAAGAGCAGTAACTCTTTTTCATTGGAGAACTCCTTTTGGAGAGAAGATGTGTAGATTGGATCTCTGGAAATGCTTTCAGTCCTGTTATGACCTTGTAATGCACTAAACAACTAGCCCTTGTGTGGAGAGAACCCACAAATTACATTACAATACAGAAATATATCAGATTCCCGCCACACCCCCCAAATTCCTACAGACCTAGATGCAACAGACCTAGGTGCATTTTGATTGAGTTCAATGCTAAAGTTAGTGACTTGTTAAGGGAGAATGCTACTTCAAAAAGATAAGTGTTACTGCTGAGCAGAATGAAAAGTCGATAAAAGTTTTGTGATGGAAAATAATATTTCAGTGAGTTAATATGCCATTTTTTTACTGGATTGACACTTAGTAATGCTTATGCGTCAATATAAAGTACATTTTGATTAACCACAGGAAATATTTACAGTGAGAAAGAACAATTTGCATTATTAGTAGTGCCCATTTTTAAATATATTTGCATGTGGGCAGGAAATGGAAGGGTATAGGAAAGTGAACAAAATTGATTAGTTAGATACTGGGCTTATGATTAAGTTTTACCAAATATTCAGTGTTACTGTAACAATTATTTAAAGACTTTTAATACAAAAAAAGAAGATCCAGTTTCTCCATTTTTGTCATCAAGGAAGCTTGAGAGCCATGTTCCACTAAGCCTTGCTGTTAATTGTAAGATGTTTTGGGTTATAGAGTTGTGGTTTTTGAGACTGGGTGCTGAAGGCTCCTGGAATCTTAAAAATAGTGATTTTCTGGACATCAGGATATAGAGAAACAGTTGACATTGAATGCTTCAGGAGGGCTTCCATTTGACAGGAACAGTTGAGCATCTGCATGATGCTCAGAGCAATTACTATGAGACAAACAGCACTGCCCTAAGCCACCTCCTCAGGTGGCTTTTTATGATGAAAACTTAGTTATTGAAAGCATGGGCCAAAAGCTGCCCATTTGAAATCTTGCCTCTGCCCTTGACTCTCTGGGTGACCTTAGTCATACAGCATAACTTCTCTGTGCCTAATTTATAGATTCCTTTCTCTGTAAGTTAGGGATAGTGGTACTTCATAAGGTGAGGTGGTTATTAAATGAGTGAACATGTCAACAACTTAGTGCAGTGTCTGACCCATGTAAGTACTTGATAACTGTTAGCTGTGGCTATAATGTTGCTGTTATTGACACTATTCCAGCATCTTTTAGTTTAAACTTGGCTTGCTAATAACTCATCAAGGCTTTCTTCCCTCCAGCTGCATGCTCTCCTTTTTTCCCACTTCAGAACTTACCCTTGGGATATCAGTTGGCATAAGTATTCATTTCTGAACATCACTAGCCAACTTTAAATATTGTATGCAAGATCATTCTGTATGTACAGAGATTTCTCTTCTAGGGAGAGGGCCATAAACCTCAGATGCTCTGGTAAGTGTATAACCCAAAAATACTTAGAAAAAGAATTTTTAAATTTGTGTTTCATAAAACAATTTTATGTTTTGATCTATAACGTATCTCTTGTATATAGGGACTATTTACCCTTTTCTAGAAAACTGTGTATTAGACGCTCACTGATTGATTGTTGAATGATAAAAAATTTTTGTTGAGACCAGCAGGACAGATCTCGATGTCTTTCCCAGGAAAAGTCTAGAAATGATTGTTAGACTTACAAGACTTGAGAACTACGAGGAACACGAGACTACTGCATCCTCTTCATTGTACAGTTTCCCAGAAGTGAGTTGGCCCAGGTGAGTGGTCAGACCCAGAGCTTCATCCCAGTGCCCGAGTGCCTGCTGTTCTCAGTGCTTACATGGTGTTCACATGTGGAATATGTTCTCTTCAGAAATAGTTTTCATTATGAGGAGTAGTGCTCTATGGGTGTAGAAGAGTAGTCCCTTAACTGGGCCTCTCAGAATTTCTGGTAATAGTTTTCCAAGTTTCCTCAGTTGTATAGTGGAGACACAACTAGTATCTACCTCAGAGGGATGTTGTGTGGATTAAGTGAGAAGACGTTTGCAGTGTTTAGAAAAATGTGTGCACATAGTGAGTACTGTATGTAAAGAGAGTGATGTGTATGAATGAGCACTGAAATGTTTAAAGTGTTACAAATTTTGCAATTTAAAAAATGTACTCTACCATAATGGTTATAGTGTATTCATGTAATGGAACATTAAACAGACATTAGAGTTGTGAACAAAGAAAATTTGGTAACAGGGACAATGTCAGTGCTGTCCTGTGTTATGAAAAAGGCATGACAGATTGCAATATGGTGTATACTTAAATATGAACAAATAAATGAATTTAAAACACAAGTGAATCTTGCTTAAAACTATGAAAATCTGTCAGAAGATTAATAACTTCAAATTGAGAACAGATACCTGCTTTTTTTGACTTTTCTTTCCAAAGTTCCTTCATAACTATTTTAGTATCAGGAAACCAATCTCTTCAATGATGGAATATTTTCTTTTGAAAAGTTCACGTGCATAAATAAACTTCTAGACCTGTAATGAAACAATTTGGCAAAGCCACAGGATATATGATCGATATATAAAAAAATGGATTTCACATCTCTGTACCAGTTGGCAGTGATTTAAAAGAGAAATCAGAAAAGCCACGATCAAGGATAGAAAAACTTAACATTGTTAAGGTGTTAATTCTTTACAAGTTAATTTTTTTATCTTCAAAGATTTATTTATTTATGCATATAGGAACTGGGGTACAGGCCAGAGGTGCAGGAGGTGAGAGGACTTACCAGAGACAGAGTGGGTTCAGAACAAGCAGGTCTGCTGAGGGGAGCAGTGGGCAGGACAGGAGAGGTCTGCCACACCATATGGGTCACCTCCTAGGCTGGGGATCGAACTTGTACTGCAGTGGCTGAGAATAACCTCATAGTGCTGTGCTTAAACCTGTTGTACCACCAGGGAGGGCCCTTACAAATTAATCTTTATACTCAGAGACAATTGTGGAGAAAATGACAAGCTAATGAAAAATGAAGAAAGACCTAGAATAACTAAAGCCTTATTGTTAATATTAAGTACCATTATTTTACATCTTTTGTTAGTATTTTGACAGTTTATGGTCATCTTTTAGGGATTGCTTTTAAATTTTGTCGTTATCTGACCCTTTAGTTTCTCTGTATTCCACATAAGTGACACCATCCAATATTTATCTTTCTCCTCTTGACATACTTTGCTTAGCATAATGCTTTCCAGCTCCATCCATGTTGCTACACTGCCACAAGTTTATCTTTTTTGGATAGTTGAATAGTTTTTATTTCTATATGTTTATGTATCCCATAATAATCATCAGCGCCATCTGTTTTAGGCTACTTTCCATATCTTGGTTAACATAAATAGTGCTGCAATAAACATTGTAGTCCTATGTTTACTTTTGAATTACTGGTTTTCTTTTGAATTACTGTTTTTGTGTTTTCTGGGTAGATTCTTAGAAATGGAATTGCTGGGTCATATGGTAGCACCATTTTTGTTGTTCTGAGAAACCTCCGTGCTGCTGTCCATAGTGGCTCGACCCATCTGCACTCCTACCAGCGGTGTAAGAGGGATCCTACATCCTCTCCAGCGCATCTCATTTCTTTTTGTTGTGGGCCATTTTCACAGGTGTAAGGTGGTCTTTCATTGTGGTTTTGATTTGCATTTTCCTGATGATAAGTGTTGAACATTTTTTCAGGTGCCTATTATTGTCATTTGCATGTTGTCTTTGGAGAAGTGCCTGTTGAGCTCTTTTGCCCATGCTTTGATTGGGTTATATGTGCTTTTTTTGAATATTTGATGTAAGGCCCTTGTCATATATGTGATGTACAAATACTTGCTCCCACTCAGCAGGAGGCCTCTTGGTCCAGGTGACAGTCTCTCTGGCTGTGTAGGAGCTTTCTAGTTTGACATAGTCCCAGTTGTTTATACTCTTGTTTTCCTTGCTGCTAAACATGAATCTGCAAAGGTATTTCTGAAGCTGATGTCAGGGAGTGTTTTCTGTGTATGTTACCTTCAGTTCTTACATCCCAAACTTCTTTCTGTTTGAATTGCTTTTCTAGATATAGTGACCTAGTTTCATTCTTTTGATGTAGCAGTCCAATTACGCCAACACCATTATTGAAGAGACTTTCCATGTGTATGTTTTTTTTTAATTATTTAAAAAAATTTCTTTATTTGTATATATTTTACGTCATGTGTTTGTTCCTCGTTCCTTTGTCCTAGATTAACTGTGCGTGTGTGTTTATAGGTGATTTAGAAATGAAGCTTTATTGCTTTATTATGGGTGAAAGTATATACTCAAAGAGTGTGTAGCATGTTCAGAGGTTTTATTTCTGGGTTTCAGTTCTGTTCCATTGGTCTGTGTGTCTGTTTTGTTTTGGTACTATGCTGTTTGAATTATGGCTATATATAATATAATTTGGAATTATAATACCACCTTCCCTCCTGTTTCCATCAGCAGAGCTTTGGTTGTTTGGGGTCTGTCATGGTACCATATAAATTTCAGTTAATATCTGCTCCATTTCTTTGAAGAATGCCATTGAGGCCCTCCCTGATGGTACAGTGGGTTAGAGTGCAGCACTGTGAAGCTGGCCACAGCAGCTTCAGTGTGAGCTCTATCCCCGCCTTGGAGGTGATCCACATGGCCTAGCAGATCTCTCCTGTCTTGCCGGCTGCTCCCCTCAGCAGTATACTTTGACTGTCTGCCTGTTCTGCTCCCACCCTGTCTGGTGAATTCTTTCCCTGCCACTGTACACTGTACCTCTGGCTTGTACCCTAGTTCTGTATGCATAAATAAATAAAATCTGAAAAAAAAATCTTAAAAAAAAGAAAAAAGAATGCCATTGAGATTTTTATTGGGATTGAATTGAACCTGTAAATTGCTTTGGGTAGGATGGCTATTTTGACAGTGCTGATTTTCCAGTCCATGAGCAGGGAATATCCCAAAGCTGTTATTAAGAAAGAATGGTAGCATGTTTTTTTTTTTTTTTTTTAAAGATTTATTTATTTGTGTATACAGAACTGGGGTACAGGCCAGAG